CTTCTAGAGGTGGCTCCAATCACACACACGCTTGTGGGTTGATCCCGACTGTTGGCTGCGAACTCAGCTTGGGATGATCCAGAACATCTCCACATGATCTTTCCTCATACCACAGCAGCTTTAGACTCCTTACATTGCAGTTGGGGTTGCAAAGTCATGCATCGCGAGAGGTCCAGCTAGAAGCTATAACACCTTTTATGACTTAGCCTCAGAATTCACATATCATTATTTTCACCATTGTCACAAACTTGACCAGATTCAAGGCAGGGACCATGAACACTACCACTCCGTGGAAGGAATGTCATTGTCACATTGTAGGAAAGATTCTGTAGGATGGAAGATACTGTTCAGGACATTTTTGGAAAACTCAATCTACTATAGTCTTCTTCCAAATTCCTGTGCATCCCACAAGCCCACATTACTGTCAAAATCTTGGTTGGTTTCTTCTCATCTCCATCTTTGACAAGCTAATTCTCCATCTGCCTGTATTTAGAGCAGGTGCCTACTCCCAAGTGGGAAATTGCTGAGGCTTTCTGTTCATTTATGAATGCCTCATTTCTCTTTGAAAAGCAGTTCCTCAGGGTTTTCTTTCATTCTTCATTCCTCGCTGACCTCATTAAAATATATGATTTTAACTTTGTTGAGGTTTTTCTTGTTGTTACCATTTGTCTTTCATGTACTTCTACATCTTAACTGAAAGCAGAAATCTCTCCTTACTGTTTGATTTTAATATCTTCATTTTTCATTTCTATTAGTTGTTTTAATTAACTATTCTCTTGTATTTCCTTGTTTTCTTTTTTATAACATTAACTATTTTAAACATACTTATTTTAGAGTATCTATCTGCTTGCTTCATTACATTTATTCTATAAAATGCATGGGATTTTTTTCCCCTCTGCTATCCCTGTGTCATGCCTATGTCATGGTAGTTTGTAATATGTGATCACAGGTTCATTTTCAGTGTGGTTTTATATCCACGGGAGTCCTGTGCAATCTAGATGGAAGTTATATCCCTCCCTCAGACCAAATATGTTCTTGCTTTTCAAGAAATCTCAAGGGCATCACTGCATCAAAACCACTTTTATGTTAATTTCTTGGCCTGGCATTTCAAAACTCTGAGGTTACTGTAAATTCCAACTCCTTAAGTAGAAAGAAGACAGACCTTGTGGTTTTTTTTTTCCTAACCCAGATCACATCAATATTAAAAAGCTTCCTTTATATCTCCCACCTTTCTTTGCCCTGTTTTTTGATGCTACAACTCAATTGTGCAGACTACCTTTCTCCTTTGCTGGCAGGCTCTATGCTGGGATCTTCCAACAAGGGTGCTAGAGGGACACTGCAAGGCTGGAAGAAGCAATTCACTCTTTTTCTGCTGTTCTGTTCTCCATATGGTGGCAAGCAGATGAGCAGGAAGGAATCCTGGCAGTGATTACCACAGTGGCCACAGCCCTCTACTTCAGTGGTGAATGCCCCCTAGCCTACAGAAGTGGGTTCACCGGCAGACAGCTTTCCATCTAGCTTCTCAGTTACCACCATGATAGGCAGCATGTTTCTATGGCATCCACACTGTCTTCTCAGAGGTCTGAATGTCTAGTATGTAGGGCCTTCCTCTAAATGTCTAAATTTCTTCCCTCTTTACTTTTCCTCAGTCCCGGGCTGGTGGCAGCTCCCAGCAGTAGCTACATCTGTTAGACCTTCAAGTTTCCTTCTAGCATTAATCACTACTTACCTACCTAATGATTCCTTGTGTTAAATTTTCCCTGCTCAAATCACTCGTACACAGTTTCTGAACAGGCAAGAAAGATCTGGGACAAACTCTACCCAGTGGAAGCACTTCATATTAATCACATAACTGTTCTTATTAATCCCTCTCTTTGTGAAATGTAAATGTTGAATGAGCAAAGAAGGAAGGAAATCACTCAGTGTTCATTTTACTCAGTGGTACTGACCAACTAATGAAGCACATCACACACCCAAAAGTCAGAATAAACGGGTCACTGGAGATTCAGCCAAGATTTAAGTAATTTCCCCTTCTACTTTCCCTTTTATCTTTAAGCCCATCTTTGCATCCCTTTGTTCTTGGAAAATCACTTAAACGGTCCATTTACCTATTTAGTTATGCAAATGTAAAGTAAAAGACCACTGCAGAAATAAAGTCATTTGAGAAGAGTGATTTTAAGGAGCTAAACCCCTCTGTAAGATAATGCAAAGGCTGTCTGCATTGTAGGCAGAGTTGTTTCACTTGGACTTTTTTTGGAGAAATGTTTGTTTTTTAAGTATGAACTTAAGCTGTGACATGCCTGCAAAATGTTAGGACTTATTTTTATGGAAATATGCTCTTTTCAAGCCACTGTTGAGCATTCAGAAGCTGAAACTAGGTTTAGTGCACCTAAATTTTCACTTCATAATGAAGGTAAATACGTACAAAAGAACTAGGCAATGCTGGGTTAAGTTAAACCTGGATTGGACTGTTGGTCTTTTACACAGTTAAGAATTAATAACAAGACTTTAGAAATCATGATACTGGATTATTGTGTTATGGTGAGATTGAGGGCTCCGAATACAAACACTCCTAGCTGGTAGGGGATGAGGTCTCCCTGTAAGTCGGCGGATATTCTAACTTTCAATCATCCTGGAAAGAGGCAGATCATGGGACAGATAAGGCCTGAGAGTTTGAGAACTCATTCCCACGTAGGCCACACTTGCTTAGAGCCTGATCTCAAGTAGTAATGTGGGGTATGCCTGAATGCATGCCTAAGAAGTGCAATTTTGAAAAAGCTAACTTTTTTCATGGGATGCCAAGGATGTAGCTACAAACGAAAGAATAACTTGTTGATGAAAATCTCCTTTGGTCTGTGGATAATAATAACAGCTAATACTTATATTACATTTATGGTATTACAGATAATTACAGCATAATATACAGAGTACACGATTGGAATTATATGTGTAATTATATTATTCTAAGCACTTACTTTTATATTACTAAGCATTTGATTAAATGCTTAATCATTTATACTGACAACAATCCCATAAGGTAAATTTCATTATTATCTCCATGTTGTAGTGGTCATATCTAGTATCCTGTGTAAATTTGGTAATTCAAACAATGCTCCAATGAATTAAAAGGATGCATCTACATTGATAAACTCAGTGGACGAGTGTGGCAATGAGGAGCACAGAATTCTCCCCCTAACCCCCAAAAAAGCACGATGGTAGCAACCAATCTCAAAAGAACAAAAAGTGATTAATAGTCAATACAGAGGGAGTTCTGAGCGAAGAGAGATTCCAATTTGGAACCAGATAATCCAAAAGACAGTTCAAGGTATAGACTGCATCCTGATGGACTCCAGAGCATCTATAAGAAAAACTCTTGCTTTGACTTCAGGATAAACTACGAGAGAGAAAGGAACTTTGAAAGGGATGGGGAAGACAGAGAAAGGTCCTATTACCTGGAAGGTGGGCACATGGGGTCTCTCTAGAAGGCTGACATTAAGTGCCCATCATTGTAAATAATCTATTTGTGTCTCTTACTGGTTACCTTAATATTCTGCCTTGGCAACTGCCATATAAATGAATTCTTTAGCTGTGATACACTTGTCAATTTTGTCTTTACTGATTTCATACCCATGCCCAAATGTAGGGTTGAGAAAGTGATACTGTATCCATTCAGTATAATTTCCTGCAGATTCATTTAAGGTGTGTGTATCAATAATATGTTCCTTTTTGTTGCTGACTAGTATTCCATAGAATGGAAATTCCATTGGAATAGAAATTCCAACTGGAATAGAAATTCCAGTTGCTTTAAACATGTAGAGTTAAATTTTAAAGACTATTTCACAAATATATTTGCTTGATTTCAGGGGCTGAAACGGGAAAAGAAAATACAGTCACTATTCAGGAAGTCATTCAGTCATTCTGCCAACATTCACTGATGGCAGACTATTGGGCCAAATATATCCCTATACACTTGATTCCGAAAAAAGACTAAGACCAAAATAAAATCAAAATTAGTGAAATAGCAGGGCTAAGGTTGAAACCCACGTCGGAATAGAATTCAGGAAGCAAGAAAATGAGTAGGTCAAAGAATATGTTATCATTAATAACAATTTTCTAAAATGTAAAAATATTCCTAAAAATTGGCATGTCTGGTTAGTTAGTAATTAAAACATCCTATCCACTAGACCAGGCGTTTACTAAGCCATGACTTACACCCGATTTTAAGGCCAACCACAGAAAAAAACCTCGTTTTAAAGGAGCACTTGAGGAGGGTGCCGCAAACCAAGTCGCATCAGAGTAGCTGTCTCTTCCCACCTACTACTGTTCTGGGAAGCACGCTTGGACTGGCAAGGCTGGTGTCCCTGAAAAACCTTAGCCCTCTAACATATTTCCTCTGGACCCCAACCGCTCCTCCGAAATTATTTTACGGTTCGATTCGAAACCGAACAAATAAGGCCAGTAGGGCACTGTTTATAAACTTCCCTACAATGTTGACAAGTATGGAGACTGAAACGCAAACTAGAGACGAGAGAGAAAAAATTCTTAGTGCTTCAAAACAACCACAGTCAGTTCCCTGACTCTATTTGCCACTTATGGTGTAATATAAACAAAACCTAAGCACACACCTCACAGAGAAGTGCCCCCTTCACACCTGATGACTCCTGGCCCGGGGCTTTAGGTAAGCCGCTCACAAGGCTTTGGTACAAAGTTCGAAAACTGAGCCTTGATAGTGTGACACCGGAGACGCTCGGGACCCAAAAGCGGGAAACTGCAAGGAAAAAAGATTTCCTAGTCAGGTCAATATCCAACAAAACAAACACCCACACCCACGAATTGAGATGCGTACCCAAGAGCTGGCGGAAGTGACGTAAGGCCAGTCGCCGGAGGAGGCGGGGCAGCCGAGGGAACGGCCTATTGGCGCCCGGGAAAGCCTGGGGGTGTGGCGGAGACGGTGGCCAGGCGCCGACCTGGGCGCGCCGGGGGCGGGGCCTGGGCGCGCGACTCGCGGGGACTGGCCTCTTTCGGCGCCAGGAGGCGGTCACTGGATCTGAGCTTGGGGATCTGAGGCGAGCGAGGGGCCATGAGGACAACGAGGGAGTCTAGAGCCCGCTGCCCGGCCCTCCTCCCTCGCACAGCGGCGACTCGGCGGCCGCTGGAGTAACCGCTGCCTTTGTTCCGAGCGCCTGTCCCTCCCGTCGCCCTAGCCTCTCACTCCGCCGCGCTCCGGCCGGCCCGCCCTCGGTCCCCGAACCCCCATTCGGCTCGTGCCGCGCGGATGCGGCTGACGGGCCTGGGTTTGGGCTTTGAGCTGGAGGAGGAGGAGAAGCGGCGGCACCTGGGCGGCATGCAATGGGGAACTGCTGCTGGACGCAGTGCCTCGGACTCCTCCGCAAGGAAGCTGGGCGGCTGCAGCGAGTAGGCGGAGGCGGAGGGTAAGCCCCCGGGGGGAGGGGCCCGGCGCTCGCTGGCTCCTCCTATTCGGCCCCTGGCGGGGAACCCCTTTCACTTCCCCAATGGCTTAGAGGAGGCTGGGAGCCCCGGTACCCTCACAGCTGAACAGGCGTCGAGCGGGTTGTCGTAGTGGAGGCCCTGGGAAAGAGGTAGAGAAGGGGGCGGGGTGTCGCTCTTGCCTCCTCCGAGCGAGATTCTCGCTGGGCGCGCTATCACGCGGGGAAAGAGTGACGGGAGGCATCATCTCTAGGAAGCACGGGGCACCCTCACATGAATGGTCAGTAGAACAGGATCCACGGCGACCCGAGCACTCCCTACGTTGAGCTTGGTTTATTGCTAAAGCTGGTAGTAGCTATGTGTTTGATTCTCTCTTTGGCTCTGACAGAGCAGGTGGAGAATCTCTTCCAAAAAGTTGATGTCTCTGAGAGATTTTTTAGTAGAAGTCATTTGGATGCTGGAGTGAAATAAGGTTTCAGACATTGAGCACTTCTTTGATACTTGCGAATTGCTGGGTTTCCACTGGGCATTCGGATTCTTAATGTTAATAACAAGAGGAGCAGTGTGTAGCTTTTTCATATTAATTTTTTGGAATTTCGAGGGGAATGCCATACCCTGATTGCTACCCACAAGCTCTGTAACACTAGGGAAATCACAGTCCTTCTGAAGTTCTCTTGATTAAATCTGGGATATGCCTAGGTTTTTCTACCCACACCATCCATAGAATAATAGAATTTTGTAATTATTCCATTTTTGTGTTTTTTATTTCATAAGGTAGTGAAAAACTTAAATTCCTTGGAAATTGGCTTTGTTGTTGTTGTTAAATATTTCCCAGGAATTCAAACTTACAATTGAAAATCTGAACCACACCACTTTATGTAAGGAATAAGACATTAATTTTGCACTTTCTGGAACAGATTGCTAAGTTTTCACCATCTGTCCCATTTAACCAACATCATTAGGTAATAAGATGTTCAACATACACATACTGAAAACAAATGATTTATCATTTGGATCTTTTGGCGATGTAGATATTATATGAGTCACTCATTCGTTCATCAGGCACTGTGTGACCTCTGATGCAGAGTAGTTAGGGTTTTACACTAAGTGTCCCTTGAATGGAAAAGTAAGGACTTGAAGACTTTGTGCCTAGTTTTAGTATTTTGGTTTTCCTGACTTAAGGGTTATTACTGTTACAGGGGAACATGGCAACTCTTTTATCTTGTCAGCAAAAGTCATCTAAGTTACTTCTAATTTTTATTCGTAGATACTCATAATAGTCAAGCTGCTTAAATAGGCTTGCCTAAGGACTAGGTGCCACAGAATCTTTGGCTTTGTTAATATTTTTATTTGTTCATTTGTAGTTGTGTTGTAGAATAACTAAAAATAGGATCTTATACTCAAATTAGGTAAGCAAAAATCATTTATATTTCACTTTGGAGTACATTGTTTGGTGTCTGGGATTTTGGGGTTTTGTTCTTTCATGGTGATTTTACAAACTGAAAATGTTTTCCTTAGAGTATAGCATTAAAATTACAGGTTTTACTCCCTGAGCACATGAACTTGACAGCATAGGGAAGGGTGAGGGGAAAATCAGTGAATCATTGTGAGTGTTAATTGTCTGTAGATGTGTCATAAAAGCATAATAGCTGGGTCTGTACTCTTCTGGCTGTGGGCAAAACTTGAACAAACAAGTTCTATTGCGGCAGTGAGAGTCTGTGGGTTGTGGACACTGTCATCTAAAACAATATAATAATGATATCCATCCTTTTGTTTTAATCCATAAATGTAGGTTTGAACAGTCAGTTACTTGAATCTTCTGATTAACTTATTGTTTTATATTCATTTTAGGAGCTTCTAATAAACATGCAGAGAGGAAGGTGGTTATAGTTCATTGTTGTTTACAGAATAAGGTTAAACTTTACCTCTCATGTTAGTAGTTGCTTTTTTTTAATCACCTGGTAGTTCTGATTTTCTTTCAGTTATAGGTCTAGGTACTTAACTAGTAGTTCATCTAAGGGCAAAAAAGTTGAGGAGCAATCTGAAAAACTTGATTTATATTTTGTCAACCGTAGGTGGAAGAATCCTGGGCTTTCTTAGGCTGATTTAAGCTGGGCCTCACAAGGGTACGTTATAATCCAGGGCCTGATTTCTTAGCCTTGTAGATTTCCCAGGGGTAGCTCAGAGTCAGATCACTCACTTTTCACTATCCAATTTCAAAACCAGAATTACCTATTTTTAAATTTATAACATATTAGAGAATTCTGGTATTTTATATTCTAGAATATGTAGACTAGTCAGAATATCAATATCAGTGTTAAGGTATGTCAGAAACCTTGCTACTAATAAAGTTATTTGATGGTTAAAGCAGAGGGAGTTAAATATCTTCAAGGAATAACATTTAGACATCCTAATGAGTCATCCTTTTTCACTCCAGGGAGTTTTGCCTACCACACATTCTAGAGGGCTCCATCTGCTGGTCAGCTCTCCTTTTTTTTGGGTAGTACGAGAAATCTTTTGTATAGACACTTACTGTGTTCTTAATTTTTTCTTTCTCAAACTGAAGGTCCAATTAAGTTTTGTTGTGTTGTATTTTAATTCCTATTTCTATCTTACCATATAATTGCACGTAGTGGTTCCAGTTAAGATGTACTGTAGGTTTATATGAAAGTATGCTCATGTTTTATATCTCTCTTGATATTTAACATTTGTTGGCCTTTTTGGCTGCAGCAGCAAAGTTGCCTTCAGACAATAATTTACAGTGATTTGGTGTTTTCTTTACTGGTAAAAAATGATTTTAATAATAGCTGCCAACATATGATTACTTCCTGTGTTCCAGGCACTGTTCCTAAGTATTTTACACTATCTCATTTATTCCTCACCACAATTCTGTGAGGAAGGTGAGTACTATTATATACACTGTAGGTTGAAAATTGAAGCTTAGAAAGTTTAACTTGCCTAAGATAGCAGAGCTGAGATTGCAGCCCAGGTCCCTCTGAACTGAGAGCCTTTACCCTTAACCACTAATATCTCATGGTTTTGTATTAAACATTATAAACATTTTATTAAACATAAATATTATAAACATTTAGTTGCTCTATCTCTCTGTGCATTATCTTGTACTTTGTCACTGGGAGCTCTTATGCATATATCTCCACAACTTGGCTCTTTATTCTGTGTGATAAGCTGTCTTCCTTTTCTTGAAACTATGCACTTGACCTCTGCAACATTGCTTTTATCTTTTTATTTTCCTGTTCCTGTCCTGGCTATATTTACTCTCTCTACCCATTAAATATGGATTTTTTCTCTGTCTTTTCTTTATGTAGTTCCCTTAATTTCATCCACTCCTATGGTTTCAACCACCACCACTTCCAAATCTCATGTCTTCTGAACAGACTTCTTTTCAGAGGTTCAGCACTGTATTTTCAGTTGCCTATTGAAGAGATATACTTAGATGTACCAAAGCTCCTCAAATCAACTTATCTGAAGTATCTAATATTTAATATTTGTGTCCCATTAAATATCCGAAGTAGTGCATTTCCTTTTCCCCTAGATTTTTTCTTCCTCTGCTTCGTGTATTCCCTAATCAGGGATTAGGGACTCCCTTAACAGCTCTGTTCACAGTCTCTGTACTACCAACTTTATAGTCCTCACTAATCAGCTATTCAGTCTTTGCTTAATACATACTGAACCTGTTTCCTTCCTCTGTGCTTCTTCCTTAAACTTTGTCTTTCACATTGCTCTCCCTGTTGTATCTCTACACTTCATGCCATCTCCCCTTCCTGTCAGTAGAGTTAAGCTTTCTAAAAACCACACTGGATCATGCCATTCCCTTGCTTAACAATTTCCATCTGCGAACTATTTCCTACAGCTAAGTTGCTCAACCTTTTTTTCCTTCTGTGACAGATGATGAGTTGCATGGCATTCAAACATGCAACATAATGTCCATCTGAATACTCAGGATTATATGCAGTTCTGCATTTGGGTAAAGAGTATGATCTCACTCTTTGTTCTCTCATTCAGAAAATCATGTCAGAATACAAATCAGAATAACATTAAAAGGAAAACAATGACTCTATTCTAATTTCAAAAAACTTAACTCATTCATAAACCTTAGTATTTTAACTTTTTTGATAAATGATAACCTTCCAATTCAGAGTAGTATGAAGTGCAGACTCCTGACAAGATAACTTAACCTTAATCTATTTTACCAGGCTAATTGCATTTTCTAATTATATTTTCCTTACAGCATAGCATTAAAATTGTAGATTTTACTCCTTGTGCACATAGCGTGGCAGCACAGGCGGGGGGAATTAGTGAAAGGATTCTCTGCCATTCTTTCACTTGGTACATCCCCAATGGCCTGTATACCAGTTGGACTATACCTGTTTCTGTTTTCCTAAATGAACTTGTAAAATCTAGAGAACAGTATTTTCTCCTTTTTTTTCCTCAAGATAATTCCCTAACTTTGGCATCACTCACATAGTTAAATATATATCTTACCAGTTTTATGTTGACTTACTTTTTAAAGAGACCGTGTAGAGAATGAGAATTTTAAATATTTTATCATAATGTATATTGCTAAAGTATACTAATCAGTAGTTATTATTGAATGATTCAGTTTGGTTTTCTGCATGTTTGTCAGCTTTGAGAAATATACAAGCATAAGATATTTCTCTTGAAATCTCAGAAGTTAGGAAGGAAAACAGTAGCAGACTTAAATGGATATGAATTTCCTGAACATTCTGTGTTGTACCTTGAAGACTCCCCAGGGCTGTGTTCTGAATCTCACTCTGTTCTTCCTTAATATATTTTCCTTCCTTAATGTACTTTCCCTGGGTGATGGCAGGAAAACAGATGACCTTACCTACTACCTGCATACTAATGAGCTCAGTCATCTCAGTCTGAGCCCTGAATATCTTAATTGCCTACTGAGTATTTCCCCTTGGGTATCAAACATAACCTCAAATTCGGTTTGTAAAGT